GGGGCTGGCCTGGGGGACGGGCGACGGCAGGGGAAGGGCTCGCGACGAACGGAAAGGCCGAGGGAGGGAGAGAGCGAGAGAGATCGGCGAGGGAGAGAGTGAGGGAGAGAAAAAAAGGTTGCGGTAAAAAGATGAGAGGAGAGGGATGATCTCTCCTATATATAAGCTTCCTATAGAGTTTGAAAGAGATCCCCTAAATCAAGCCACTTGCCAAAATAATAGTATAAGGAAGAAGGAAGTCTCCACAATTAAGCAACTTCCCAAAATAACACTAGGAAGGAAGAGGGAAGAGGGGGGGCGCCGCCTAGGGCTTGGGCGCGGCTCCGGGCGCGCGGCTCGCGGCTCGAACAAGTGCTCGGTTTTGATGAAAATCAAATAATAATAAAAAAAAATAAAATATTTAAACATAATATTTAATATTTAAAATACATTACCACAAATAATATTTATATAATATACACAATTAGGCACATAATTTCATTTAAGCACTTAGAAAATTTAACAATTAATAAAAATGGCCACCAAAAATAATGATAACAATAATAACAATAATCCAAATTATTCATAAACGAACGGGGCGTCACAGTCTACCCACCTTACAAAGAATTCCGACCTCGGAATTTGAAAACGAAAACTAGAAAGCGATAAAAGATACAACGGAGAACTCAGAACTCAAAGTTCGGATAACGCCTCTTGATACCGTCCTCCCTTTCCCAAGTCGCCTCGGTCTCATCGTGTCGGCTCCACAGCACCTTCACTAAGCTCACTGCCCGGTTCCTCAGCTGATGGACCTTCCAATCCAGAATAGCTACCGGCACCTCCTCATAGGTAAGGTCTCGCTCGACCTGCAGCTCGCCGAAGTCCACGACATGATCAGGATTATGCACATACTTCCGAAGCATCGAGACATGGAATACGTCGTGCACACCCGACAAGTCTGGTGGTAAAGCCAGCCGATACGCTAAGTTCCCGACTCGGTCGAGGATCTCGAACGGCCCAATATAGCGAGGTTTAAGCTTCCCTTTCTTCCCGAAGCGAATCACCCCTCGTATGGGCGAAACCTTCAGAAGAACATGATCTCCCACCGCATACTCATGCTCATGCCTCTCCCGGTCAGCATAGACCTTCTGCCTCTCCTGGGCAGACCTAATAGCCTTCCGGATCTCCTCAACGGTCGCAGCAGTACTCTGAACAAAATCTGGTCCGGTAATCCTCCTCTCTCCAACCTCATCCCAATACAAAGGAGTCCGGACCTTACGTTCGTACAAAGCTTCGTATGGGCACATCTTGATCGAAGAGTGGTAGCTGTTGTTGTAGGTCAGCTCGACTAGCGGAAGGGCATACTCCCAAGTCAGGGTTCGGTCCAAGACCACAGCCCTCAAGATATCCTCCAAGTACTGGATCACACGCTCCGACTGACCATCCGTCTGGGGGTGAAAGGCTGTACTAAACTCTAACCTCGCCCCATGGCTCGGTGCAACGTCCTCCAGAACTGGGATGTGAACTTGGCATCTCGATCCGAAACAATCTCCACGGGCACTCCATGAAGCTTGACAATGTACTTGACGAACAATTCGGCGTAATCACTCGCCTTCATGGTCGTCCGGACAGGCAGAAAATGAGCAGACTTCGTAAGGCGATCCACTATCACCCAAATCGAATCACACCCGCTCCTTGATCTCGGCAATCCAACCAAGAAATCCATGGCGATGCAATCCCACTTCCACTGGGGAACCTCTAGAGGCTGCAACAATCCTCTCGGTTTCTGGCGCTCAGCCTTTACTTGTTGACACACCAGGCACCCATCCACGAACTTCGCTATCTGCCTCTTCATGCCACGCCACCAGAACGATTTCCTCAGGTCCTGATACATCTTCGTGCTACCAGGATGGATGGTGTACGGGGCACTATGGGCTTCCTTCAAAATCTCTCTCCGCAGTTCCCACACCCTCGGAACACAAAGTCTACCCTCGAAAACTAAGGCTCCATCGGATGCGACTGCGAATCCACCAACTCTACCGGCTGCTGACAACTCCCTCATCCGGCATAGGAAACGGTCATTCGGTTGCTCGGCGACTATCCTCTCTCGAAGGGTCGGTCCCACAACCAACGAGGCTAACACACTCCCGGCTGACGAAGTCGACTCCACCGCCTCCAACTGCAAACGCTCGAACTCCCGAAGAAGAACATCCTGCTTGGTGAACAAGCAAGACAACTGGCCATGGCTCCTCCGACTAAGGGCATCGGCTACCACATTAGCTTTCCCAGGGTGATAGCTAATGGTGCAGTTGTAGTCCTTGACCAGCTCCAACCACCTACGCTGCCTCATGTTCAACTCCTTCTGAGTGAAAATGTACTTTAAGCTCTTGTGGTCGGTGAAGATCTCGCACTTGCCTCCATAGAGATAGTGCCTCCAGATCTTCAAGGCGTGGACAACAGCGGCCAACTCAAGATCGTGAGTGGGGTAGTTCTTCTCGTGAGGCTTCAGCTGCCTCGAAGCATAGGCTACGACTTTCCCTTGCTGCATAAGGACGCAACCCAAACCCATCTTCGAAGCATCACTATAGACGGTGAACTCCAAAGTAGGGTCGGGTATGGCTAGAACCGGTGCGGTAGTGAGTCTCCTCTTCAACTCTTGGAAACTCTCCTCGCACTGAGCACTCCAATCAAACCTCACGGCCTTCTTCGTAAGGTTGGTCAGCGGCTGGGCTATCTTCGAGAAGCCCTCGATGAACCTCCTGTAGTATCCTGCTAACCCCAGGAAACTACGAACATCCGCGGCACTTCTTGGCGTATCCCACTTGCTCACCGCCTCGATCTTGCTGGGATCCACCTCAATGCCTCGAGCTGTCACAATGTGGCCAAGGAATGCCACACGCTGCAGCCAGAATTCGCACTTAGAGAACTTTGCATACAACTTCTCGCGGCGAAGAGTCTCTAGCACAATCCTCAAATGCTCCTTGTGCTGATCGATATCTCGTGAATAAACCAGAATGTCGTCGATGAACACAATGACGAACTGGTCTAGGAAAGGATAGAAGACCCTATTCATAAGGTCCATGAAGACGGCCGGGGCATTACTGAGTCCGAAGGGCATGACTACGAACTCATAGTGGCCATAGCGAGTACGGAAAGCAGTCTTGGAAATATCCGACTCTCGGATCTTGAGCTGATGATAGCCAGAACGCAAATCAATCTTCGAGAAGACGCTGGCTCCTCTCAGCTTATCAAAAAGGTCCTCAATACGGGGGAGGGGGTACTTGTTCTTGACTGTAAGGGCATTCAACTCCCGATAGTCAATGCACATGCGCATAGATCCGTCTTTCTTCTTCACGAATAGGACGGGCGCACCCCACGGCGAAACACTCGGACGAATGAAACCGAGCTTAAGCAACTCCTGGATCTGGGCCTTGAGCTCTTGAAGCTCCTTCGGCGCCATACGATAAGGGGCCTTGGAAACGGGGCCAGCTCCGGGAATGAGGTCAATAGTGAACTCCACCTGGCGGTCTGGTGGTCCTCCGGGCAGATCATCGGGAAAGACGTCCAGGTACTCGCAAACAATAGATACTCACTCGGGCACCCGCTCATCAACGACGTCGGATACCATAGAAACAAGGTAGCCTTGACAACTACCCTTGGAAAGGCTCTTCCTAGCTTGCATAGAAGAGATGACCCGAGGCACAGTCCTCGAACTCACCCCAAAGAACACAACGGGCTGATAGGAAATGGGATGGAGGGTGACTTCGCGCTCCTGGCACCGGATGTCGGCTCGATAACGGGAGAGCCAGTCCATGCCCAAGATCACGTCGAAGTCTCGCATATCAATAACATACACGTCGGCCTCCAAAACTCGGCCACCAATACAGATAGGAAGATTGCGAACCACTGAATCAGAAACGATAATTTTTCCCGAGGCCAAACTAACCTCGAGAGGGTCACAAGCATGCACGGTGCTAACAGATAAGGCTTCCAAACAACGAGATGATATAAACGAATGGGTAGCACCGGTATCACATAAGGCAAAAATAGGCACATGGGATATTGAAAGCATTCCGGACATGGTACCTGCATTACGAGCGGCCTCATCATGGGTGAGAGTATAGACACGGGCCTGGCCTCCAGCCCTCTGCTGGAACGGTGGGGGCTGCTGCTGCTGCTGATGCTGCTGATGTGGTGGTGGTGGGAGGAGCTGCTGCTGCTGAGGGAACTGCTGCTGCCTCTTGGGCTCGGGACACACACTGGCATAATGGCCTGGACGGTTGCAGTTGAAACAGGCTCGCTGGTCGGCTAAGCACTCGCCACTATGGTACTTGCCACATTTCTTGCAGGTGCGGTTGCCAGAAGAGGGATGATTGCGCCGATCTGGTCCTCCTCGCTTTCCCTTCTGGTTATCCCGGTGGAAATCTGCCTTTCTCTTACCCGAACTAGAGCCGGTCGGTGCCGAGGAAATAGGCTGAGCATACTGGACCACAGTCTGAGACGGCTGAGAGGCAGGAGGATAAGATGAAATGGAAACAATCAGGATGAGACAGCTCTCCACCTCCTGAGCTCGGCTCACGGTATCAGCATAGGACATCGGTCCATGACTTCCCACCAGTTCGCGAATCCTCTGGTTGAGACCCTTGAGAAATTTCCGGGCCTTCTTAGCATCAGTGTTCACAGCATCACCCGCGAAAAGGCACATACGGGTAAAAGTGCGGATGTACTCATCCACCGAGGAACTGCCTTGCTGCAAGTGATAGAATTCGTGCTCCATTCTGTCCCAAAAGCTCTGGGGGAGGAACTTACTGCGCACCATCACTTTTATTTGCTCCCAAGTGAGAGCATGGAGCTCCGCCTCGGGCCTCCGGGCCCAAAGCTCAATCCACCAATCTGAGGCGTCTTCCTTCATCTGATACGCGGCAAGAGACACGCGCTGACGGTCGGGGAGGGGGAGTACAGCAAAGATTTTGTCCAGCTCCTTCATCCATTCAAGCACAGCTGTGGGGTTTTCTGTCCCCGAGAAAGTTGGCGCATTCATGCGCTGAAACTGAACAATCAACTGAGTGAGGTCCATGGCCGGGGGGGCCTGGCGCTGACGACGAGGAGGAGAAGGAGATGGGGATGGCTGACGGTTACGGTGGCGAGTATTCATACTTTTACATTTGAATAAGTCGAGCAAAGTTAGCACAGAAAACAAACAATAATACATCAGAAGTCTAGAGTTTGATTAACTCAAGGTGGATAGATCCTAAGCCCCATAGATAACAAGTAACTCACAAGTTCATCACGAGTAGTTTCATTACTACAAGTGCATTAATTACATCACAAGTATTTAAATCAAAACATACCTTAAGCAGCGCAGAGTGACGGAGACGAGTGGTCATAACACAAGGTCTAAACACATAATCACATATGTGCCAGTCTACAGAACCGCAGACTGGCTCTGATACCAAACTGTAACGCCCCACTTTGATTTTACAGAAATTTCGAATTTTCCCAAAACCAGTATAAAATTTTCAAAATCATTTTCGAAAACTTAGTGGGTGTTAACTCACGTTTTTCATATCCCAAGTCTTATCTGGGCCTACGGGGATTCATTACCCGGTTTTCACAATCGGCTTTCATCAACCAACATCAACTCATGAAATAAATAACAACCAGGGTTCATAAGATTTCAAAACCAACACACGAGGTTCGAAAATAGTTTGCACAAACATGACGTGCAACATACTTATTCATGTTCAACGGAAGCAAATAAAAATGCATAAGTAAATAGACCGACCCAACTCGTCCCTTCCTCGTCACCCGGCTGTCACTTAACCTGCATCGGTAAAGAGCAGGTGGGGGTGAGCACAAGATGAAAATAGTGCTCACTACTATGCACATAAACAATATATGACAAAGGTACGGTCGCAGCATGAATATAAGATAATCACATATTGTCTCATCTCCTATCAAAATCACAACAACCACATTACTCCTGTGCACATCTATCGCTAGCCGCAGAACGGGGATTCATTACCCGAAGGCGGGAGTACATGCCACGCTACGGACACGGCCTTCCATATGGTCTTACGTACCTCGCAAGGGCACGGCCATATCAAGACTTAAGGAGACTTGCCTCGCAAGGGCAACCGTATTACATCGACGGGGACAACCGTACCGACGGCCGTAACAGCTCACATCGATAGGCTACATATTTGATATTCATACTTAGATCATACCGTAAATAAAACATTCATCATTCATGGCATAGACGATTTTAGATTAGAACCCACCTGGTGTAGCAAGAAAAGCAGCACAATCAAGGGTAGGCAGCGAGCACGGCTCGTCAAACACCTACAACAAAATATTATACTAAGATCAACACTTTTGACCTTAGAGGAACATACACAATCATACTTGGTCGAACTCGAGTCAACCAAGTCGTTCGTGAAGTTCTGTGGACTTTGGAACACTTGGACCTAACACTTAGACTTGACCAAAAACACATAAAATACCACCTATAGACTTAGAACATAAAACAAGGTCAAACCAGTCAAAGACACACACAAGGGTTCGAAAAAATATGGAAAAGGCATGGGTCGGGCCCCGGGATGCTCGCTGGCACGGTCGGGACGTGGCTGGTGCTGCTGGGCACGCACGGGTGCTGGCGGGTCGTGCACGGGCGCTTGGCGCTGGGTCGCGGGCGCTGGGGCGCGGTGATACGGAAGTGGGTTCCAGACTACTGTGACAAGAAGGTCGACGGTGACCGGCTAACGAGCGAAGAACGCGCATCGGCCTGTGATGCGCGAGGATGGACGGAACAAGATGATACGCGAGCGCCAGACGAGCAGCCCATGGGGATCGACAATCGGCACACGGGCGAGACGGGAGCTGCTGGCGTGCACGGGACTGGCGCAGGTGGCTGGGACGCGCGCGGGATGGTCGGAAGTGACGACGAGCGCGAGATAGCGCGCGAGTGCACGGGAAGCGTGGGCGTCCTAATCCGCGAAGAAGTCGGCGTCCTGCAGGGATGCGCGAGGAGTGACACGTGCAAGGGAAGCGGACGAGGCCTAGGCCTCGGAAGAGCAGAAGTAATGGTCGACTGCACGCACGCGCATGAGGAGTTCGACGACAGTTGGGCGAACGCGTTGGCATGCGCATGGGCGCACGAGTGCGACGCGGGCGATGGCCTATACCGCGTAGGCACAGGAGTGCTGGACGACGAGTAACGGGCGCATGGCGACACGTGCGAGGCACAATGCGAGAACAAGCAAGCAAGCCTAATCCTCGTAGGAATAGGCAAGGCGCGAATACTAATCCTCGCAGGAATAGGAATAGCAGTTGAGTGTCGGAATGCGTGAGGGAGATCGGTGACGGGAGTAATCCTCGGAAGATCAGGAAACGTAACCGAGAGCCTATTCCTAGTAGGAATAGGAATAGTGGATATGGGCTCAAAGCATAATCCTACAAGGAATAGGAGTGGCGTAGTAGGCGCCCTAGACCTAGTCACCGAAGGACTAGGCGAGCATGGCAGCGGCGCGCGAGACGTGGCACACGGACGGGCGGCATGCCTATGCGCGATAGGCATAGGCGAAGGGTGCGGGCGGCGCGAGCATAGCGCGCGAGAAGAGAGGCGGTCGAATGACGTTGGGGCGCAAGACTTGGAGTATTCTAGAATGGTGTGGAGTGCAAGGCAAGGAATTGGATAGCAAGTCAAGATATTAGGAGATCTACTAGATTTAGGAATTTATGGTAGTAGGATATTTACTAGCCTTAAGATTTAATATTTAATTGTTTTAATAGTTTCCTAGTAAGAATAGATCTAGAGATAGTTGGTATCTATAAATACCCCATGTACCTCATCATATTTAACATGTTGAATGAAGTATTGAATTGGTGAGCCAATCTTGAGGGGGAACTTATGTTCTTAACGTGTGATAAAGAAGGCCATTAGTGCGTCTTTACATGCAGTGTGGGAGAGAAGGCCAATAGTGCGTCTTGAAGTCACGGTATCTAGAAGAAGGCCCTGAGTGCGTCTGCTAGATACACCTATCGGGGATAAACGAAGGCCGCAGTGCGTCGTTTATTCGCAACCCAGTATAGACAAAAGATCGATCCGTCATCATTGGTGCTTTCATTGAGAGGTGCTGATAGATATTTTGTCTATCTTATCTTTTTATTTTTTTCGGTTTGCCTTTTGCTGAGGGACCGAATTTCTCTTCTTTTGAGTCGAAATTTCGAATTTTTATTCGATTTTTCATTTAAAAAAAAAAAGTGTCATCTTGTTAGTCCTTTGTTATTTTTTTTCGGTTATTACCTTTTGTTAAGGGGCCGAATTTCTCTTTGTTTCGATTTTTTAAGTCTTGTGGGGGTTCGAATTTTTCGAATTTTTCCCCATTTATTTTCGAATTTTTTTAGAGTCTTAAAAAAAAAAAAGGGGTTATGATGTTACCATTAGAAGAGTGGGATCAAGAGGATCTTGAATATTTGGAAGGATTGGAAAGGGAATTAACCCCATGGGAGCAAAATTACTTGGAGGAGATGTACGAGCAAAAAGAGGAATATAAAAGACAACTAAGGGTCATGAAGGAGTTCATCGAAGGAGACCCCTTGTTTACGTTCGATCTACCGGGCTATGTCGAAGACAAGGCGGTCGAGTGTGAGGTCGAGGTCAAAGAATTGGAGGTAACCGAGGTTGAAGAGGCAATCGAAGGCGGCGTATGAACGTTGGCTAGGTTCGAAGAAGTCAAGACCGAAGGAGACCAGGTAATCAATGTTGCAAACGAGATCATGGTCGAAGAGATGTTCGAAGTCGAGATCTTGGCCATGGTCGACGAGGATCGTTAGTGGGATGTGCGCATGATCGAAGCAAGAGTTCCCGATGTTTGGATGGTCGAGGATGAATCCTTGAGGACAAGGATAGTCTCGAAGAGGAGGGGAATGATACGGAAGTGGGTTCCGGACACCTGTGACAAGAAGGTCGACGGTGACCGGCTAACGAGCGAAGAACGCGCATCGGCCTGTGATGCGCGAGGATGGACGGAACAAGATGATACGCGAGCGCCAGACGAGCAG